TTGTCTAGCTGAAGATTGTTTCCTCACTGTAAATATGGCAGGAGGCGCATATATGAAATTGGTAAAAAGGTACTATCTAAAAGTATTACCTGGGACCAGACTTCCATACAATATAAAAGCTGTGTGGAAGTAGGAAAGCCGGATGGCTAAATCACAGGTACTAGGTCAGCTATAGATTCCAATTAACGACAAAGCCCTGTAACAAGAATGAAGCTTAGGTCAGAATGCTGGTAAATGAGAGGTGTGGGTCTTCATATGATCGTGCCAGTGAAAAAAAAAAATTACGCCAGGGTAAAGGGTCTGTTGGCTTTTTTTATTAATGGCAAGGATCTTATTTTAGTCAACTTATTATTCAACGGCTCCAACAGTGATGTCAAGAATATTTCTTACTTAAAGTTTAAGACCTATCTATTGCCCGGCAGGGTATTGTATTATCATGAAATACAACCTGTCATGTACGGAACCTCAATGACAAGGGGTTCATCGATTTTTCCAAAGACAATCAATACGTCGGGTGTTTCATCCATCTTTTGTCTCAGGTTTTATGGATTCAAAAACCTAATTCTACGTTGTAAGAATTTCAAACTTTTGTCAGAACCAACATATTTCTAAACCTTCATTGTATTGAAATGACGTTGTTGTAATTTCCGTTATAAATTACACATATTTCAATCTATTTTTTCAGTTGAGAGCCAAGCAGACTGTGATACATGTGAAATTGATATCCAACCATCAAATACACATAAAAGTTGTACCATACTTTCATAGGTTGTTGGCATCCTTCAGTCTCGGGAGACCATGGTGCATAGATTCGCGCTATGGGTAGTTCGTGGTTTGGCATCGCCGGTTGTGACTGGTATAGGTATAGTAATTTATATCAATTTAAAGTTAAGAAAATATTTACACCAATTCGAGACATTACGACTCAACAGATATTTAGCAAACCATCCATGAAGCAGATTCTAACTGTTTTACCCCACCATTGGGGCATCACGTAACAAGGTAAAGCGGCAATTATGCCTCATTTACGCCGTGTCCGGATTTTCAGGACTCCCACACGTACGGTTATGTCTACCCTCTGAAACATAATATCTCCCAGATGAGCAGTAAAAAAGAAAAAGGGGGTCATTAGGTCAAATTTGATATGCCGTAACAAGAAAGAAATACCTGAGAGTATATGTAACGGCATTGGTTGGATCATAGAATGTACATTTTGGATTAACTATGGTGTTAACCCGAATAAATTCTATGGGTTAGTTATCACTTTAAACATTAAAATGTACCATAAAGGGAATTGTAGAATATAACGCATTGGACCTAGCATCTGACATTTGACATAAGATCTGGCAGGAACAGTGCCATTGCGTACCCGCCAAAACTCAGTGTTTTGTAACGTTACTCTACTGTGTAATCACCCGACTACTGAATAACAATTCTTGTTATTCAGTCTGGTTATGTTTGTAAACATTCGTGATATGTTGTACAATTGTGCATTCCCCGCAACGCAACTGCGTAATTCAGTTTTTTTCATTGTATTATTAGGCTGCAGTGTTGTTTTAGTTTTGTGTTAATTTGCGAATAAACCATTCATATTATATCTGCGAGATCAAATAAAAAAATTCAAGCAGAATGTAAGTTGTGATTCATGTTGCAGCTTTCAACCTAAGGCAGAATGACCTCTGCGCTGTTCTGCAAAGAGATAAACACAGTCGTAACTCGCTGTAAGCGACAACACATAGAATAGTTGATAATGAATTAGTTAGGAGGATGAGTAGATCGAAAAAATACAAGATTCCGGGATATGCCTAAAGTAAGGTCCAGGGAACAGTTGAACATGGCCGTGAAAATAAACATACGTGCGTGACGCACATACCTCTATCGGGACTGCTTTGTTAAGGTGCCAACATGAGGAATAATGGCCCTTTGAAGACATCCAATGCAGTTTTTAGGGCTTGAAAACCCGATATTTCAAAGCCAATACTCTAGTCATTTATCTGCATACTGAGTTGAAACCACACCAGCCTGACGTATATTGACCCTCATGGAGCAAAATTCTGACGGAAAATGGTTACTAGAAGGGCCCTGGGCTGATTTTTAGGGTACCATCAAGAAAATAAAGGACTTATCTTGGGGCTTGTTTCTGCAGTTTGAAATGCCTAAAGTGTGAAAAGCTGATTCAAATGTGCTAATGTGAAGCAGTATGTGTCAATATCATAGAGATTGCCTTATTCAAAATATTTCCAGTTTTGCTGTCCTGAAATCGCATTATTGGTTGCCTTAAAATAAAGATTTCAGCAGATCTAGACCAAAATGTCGCTTGGGATGATGCTATGACATTGTTTAGTTTTCCAGAGCACGAGATACCGCGTTAGTGTCCCATCAATGGTTAAAGCGTGAATTGATTGTTATTAATAGTGAAGCATTACCAAAAATCAGTTTTAATTATCTGGAACCTCCAGGGACATTGTTGTTCGCTAATAGTTTGTGGCAGTCCAATAGAATTTCTTTTAGATTGTGCGATAAATGCCTAACAAGGGAACCGTGGTGATGTCAAAATCAATGGCTTAGCGTTTCAAGCGGCCTTTGGTAAATCGATGGGTAAGGGAAGGGGAAATAATAAGCGAGGCGGCCACGAAAAGAATTGCTATTTAAAATGTCAATATTGATCAAGTCTTGCCGCATGACAAAGGCTCGCGGGCGGACAAGAAAGAAACCGCCGACATGCCTGACTTCCGGGCAACTGTCTGTAGCCATTCATGATGTGTTGACATTTCATGTTGACATGGCGTCAAAACAGAATTAATAAGTAGCTGAAATTGCTAGTATCATAAGTTTCCACAACGTCATTTATTTAGTTATACTAAAACATTTCCCACCATATTTAAAAACCTAAAAACTAATTTAGTTTGTTACATGTCTATTGCAATTGTCAATAAGATTGGTCCACAAGCTGTTTATAATAATGAAACATAAAGCGCTAGCCTTTAGGATTTGTTTTACATATTGGTGCGAGTAATGCAATGGGAAACAGCATTCAATATTAGAAATATCTGTATGTGAAATGTATTTCTATTCACATTTGTTGAAATTGTTTATTGGGGATTTAGCCGGAAAACAGAATGCATTGTTTGTTTATTTATTTATCTATTTCAGGAATCTCCAATTAGTGACAATACACCACTACTCTTCCGGAGTCCTTTTCCATACAAAAATGCATGCATTTAAAATACATCAATATAATTCATCATTATACCTATTTACATTCTTCATCCAATAACAATAATAATAATAATACTAGAATTCCGAGATTTCATACCTCCATGAAATATGATCTTGATATGTAAATGTAAATTTCTTCTTTAATTGTTCAAATGACCTCTGCATTAACATGATATATGCATCGTGATGTATGTTAACTTTTGATTAATTTACAGATGTCCCAAGTATGACATTCTCATCATTCACCATTACGAAATCATAGAATTTTCACATTAATTATGCAAATTAGGTCATCATTTGCATAATTAGTATCTGTTGAAGTTCCGCCTGCCATAGGTTACATAGTATAATGTAAAACACTGTAATTATAGAATTTCCTCATTAATTATGCAAATAAAGTCCTCATTTGCATAATTTAATTATTTAATTATGTACATCTCTCTCTCAGCTACCTACACACCAAAAATAATGAAAATATGTTGTTCCTGTCTGGACTTATTGGCTTTTAAACATTTCACCAGAAAGTGCCCTGCAGTTCCAGAACAAGCCGCTAGGGGGCCCAAACTCATATGACTTCTTCCCAAGCACGAGAGCTACCTTCCATCAAAATTTCATGACCCTAGCATGTCCAGATCGTGAGATATCAAAACCGGAAGTTGCGCTGCAGTACCAAGGGAAGCCACTAGGGGGACCAAAATCTCATCATTTCCAGTTTTCGTCACACCCTACCAACACACCAAGTATGAAACCCATCCATCTAGGCGTTCTTGAGTTATCTTGTTGACCAACAGACAGACGGAAGGACGGACAGATAAACGCAACTGAAAATATAACCTCCATGACACATTTCATGGAGGTAACAATAAACGTCATCAAGGTAACTGCACATTCAACATCAATCAATAGACTCATTAAACAATATCACATAAAAATGTTAGCCTGGATTATCACTTACTATGAAAAGTTCTCTTCTCAGTAAAATATGTATGAAATAATTTTGATTCGTTAGAATGGGAAAACATTACTCATTTTTTGACACCATACTTATGAAGTCACTTGGAGGATGTGCGAGTATTCAAAGTCACCTTCAGGGTCGCCACGGCGCTAACGTTTTACTACATATTAGATTACCGGGCGGCCTTCGTTCCCTTTCAAAGTCTCTAATCCTCTCACGGCCACATTATTCCTTTTCTCTTGTGACAGTTTAAACCCCCGGGCGACAACGTCAGGCTATCAGATCGAGTTTTAAGCCCCCGTGTGGCGAATCTTTCTCGTGCCTGGATAAAAAGGTTCCAGTATGCAAGACAGGGTTAAATCTTCAAACGCTCCAAATGTGGCTGATGAGCCGTGAAAATAGGATGAAAGGCAGCCGCTGTGTTATCTTGTCTGAACCAAATCTACAAATAACTCTGACGGAGGCATGTAATGGGACATGTCTAACGCCACAGACGACACTAGAAAAAATCCCGGAGCTTCAGCGGAGTTTGAAGTATCCCTGATGACACTTTCGGGTCTCCATTTTGGCGCTTTTGCTGACCCAATGGAGGTGATTAAAAACCCTTCGGCATTTTTAGAGGCTGAATGGATAAAACAATGTCAAGAACTTTTAGGGGCTACAAAGTTTTGTAATACCCAAGAGGCGATAGTTTGCAGACATTGCTTTTGAATGTGTGTGTTTAAAACAAAAACATGTTGGATGTCGCCAGTGTATACTTGTTTTGACAGCAAATGAAAGGAGGTCCGTAAATAGAATAGGACTGTATTCCCAGATGAGAACGTACCAGACATGCATATGATTGCCTTCGCGTCCTTGGTCGACTTAGACGCCATCCTATTAGTGTAATGCAGGACGCTTTTCAAAGTACTTCCATTAACTAAAAGAAGAAGACAAAAAACTTTTGTTGGGATTTAAATACACAGTTTTGAGAGTCTAAGCAAATACTGCATAGCTGTCGTACTTAAAACCTACACATAAAAATGTCCTTTTGATTTCGTCTGATTTATTACATGGATTCATTTATATTGACATCAAGCACAAAGGAATCCACACCCTTTTGTAACATTGCAGCAAAGTTCTATACATATGTATGACTTAATCCATTAAAGCTTTCTACATGTACAAGTTCATTCATCAGCACCGTGAAATGAAACCTCAAGCTTGCTTTAGATTAGTGGAGCATACTTTACGGCTCAGACTGTTCGTGTGAGCACTTTGCTATCACTGGCATGCGGTAGCTATAAAACAAGCCAACAACGGGCGAATGAAGACTTGCAAGTGAGCGATAACACGTTCTGACACTCTGTCAGTACTCTTTTCATCGTTTCATACTTGAATCTAGCACTTGATAGTCCGAACCTGACAGCCCGGCTTTGACAACATCTGTGCCGTTTATATTCTAGTTGTCTCAATGCTTTCAGCACTACTGTCTGCATGTTTAAGTTATGAGTTTCACTCCAGACCAAAAAAACGCATGGCATGTTATGCAACAGGCTGATCTAGTAAGCTATAAACCACATGGACGATCAACAGTTGTAAAATCGTTTTTCAGCAGTAGTTCAAGTATCAAAGTTCCATGACCGTGTATTTTGGGGAGGGGATATCTACATGTAACTTGTAATGGTGGTGGTAATAATAATACGATAAATTGCACCACCACAAAATACCGTAATGTAAATAAAAATGGCTTACAGCAGTGTTCAATCACACTTGTATGGTGTAATATTTTGGCACCTCTAGTTTCTGAATAGCATTTATTTGGAGTCGAGTGGGGTTGATTCAACAAAAATGTTCACTCAAAGTGTACCCTACAAAGCAGACAGTGATGAAAATTTCCAAGCATTTTGGTTTTGTATTTCAGACACGCTACGTACTTAGTTAGCATCAGAATCTGGACAAATGCAGCAAAAATAAAAGGCACATTTCTCGTCTGATATTCTCCTGTTTTATCCCTTAAGCCATCCCTGGCCACAAGTACATACCACCCAAACTAACCTGTATGTGGAAGGCAGTAATCTAGAGTTGGCCAGCTTGCGGTGGGAAGCTGTTTAGTCCAATCAAAAACAGCTCTTGCGAACTGCAGAACCTTCCAAATGCCCATTATCTCGGTGGCTCCAACTCTACGTGTACGTTCAAAAGGTCAACATAAAAGTAAAAGTAGTAGATGCGTTTTCTTGTATACGGATTGACACAGTGCCATACTAAAATCCCAGGATGAAAGCAAATAGTGGCATATATTTGATTTTTACCTTGATGCCGTGTGTGTGTTCTACATGCTGCAATGCACACATGGTCCTCAGGGGGCGTTTCTGCACTTGTCTATGGCTTAGTAAACGTTTGGAATTCCTCACACGTCGGTCTCAGCTGTTTTACTGCCTCTACAATCAAGTTAATTAATCAACAATGCAAGGTACCAAATGTAGCCCTAGTTACAAATTACAAAATCTTAGATCCCAATGGTATTTTAGATTATATTAAGATCACGTTTTATGTTATAGAATGCAGCGTTGATTTTGAAACGTTACAGACCACACGCACAGTTATTTCTGCTTTACCGCACGCAAATGCCATATCAGTATAACCATTTACGACCAAGAGGACGGTGATTTAGGGTTCGCTATCAAACTCTCTTAGCGGAGATGTCCGTGGCAACAGTTGTGAGAGTGTTTGAACAATACCGCTGGGGGCAATTTTACGGTTTAGGGTTCTAGGTGTGACCAATATCACGGTTCCAATATAGGAATAATAATCCGCATGGTCGAACCAAACGCGTGTTATATATGGATTTTAATAATAATAATAATAAAATTCTAAATTAAAAAAGGTACCTGATTTATCAAAACTTTATTTTTTATTACTCATGCTCAGTATTTTTTGACTGTATATTTACCTGTTTTTTATAATTGAAATTTAGCAATAACATCACATCGATATAAAAATAGACATGATATATGTTCAGTGATGTTAGTACGAACTAATGTGTAGAATTCCTTTAAATCAGTTGCATAGTGACATTTTAAAAGTAAGGATGGTCCACGCATATCCAACTGCCATACTTTCCCCATAACCGCTGCTAAAAGGGCTGTACGTCTGGAGTTAATCGGTTTGCTGTTTTAATCTCAGACAAATCTAATACTATGTCATGCGATTGATTTCTATCGAATCACTACCTAGTATTAGCGAGAGATGATATCACTAGGCGAATTCAGTCCCATGCGGATCTCTGATGCTACACTGACTAAATCACCAGCACCCGCAGCGTCTTTTAAATAGCCGAGATGAGATTGCAGCAAGGCGAGCAATGCACCTGAGGGACCGAGCGCCAATAAATTAAACGGCGCTTAGGAGATTTTTTCTGGCAGCTTCTACTAACAAGGGAACATCCATGCTTCACGCATATCAACTAGTTCGTGGCTATAATTTCCGAAAGGTGGGTTTTATGCGACCACTGTTACGGGCCTAGTATGACAAACAGGTACAGTTTTTTAGATCATTGACCTCCTGATCCTTGGAGGGGGGGGGGTCAAGGTAGATATGAGGGAGTTAGAAATATTAAATATTCGGGAAATGTCATGCTTCTACGGCCACTAAAATTTATCTCGAGCAAATCAAGTTGTGACTGATGTGAAACAATTAGGTTTTGACAGAAAGATGGCTACCTCTCAAATTTCAGTTGCACCAATAATAACGCACTAATTTTCCTTGAAAAATTCATAAGTGAGATTTTGCAGTACATTAATAGTAATCCACAATCTCGTGCCTATTGTCTTTGATATTGTGATGATTCAGAATATATTTTTATAAAAAAGAAACACGATTTGGCGTTGTTTCATGAATACCCATTTCCACATGATTTTGTGTTATTTCAGATGATCAGATCAGTTCCGACGAATGAGTGATAGAACATGGACGTTAAAAGAGACAGATGACTCAAACACACCCTCCGGGGTGAACACCGTGTGATCTAAGAACAGAAAGTTGACAGAACTGTCCTGGATTACAGGTCCGCGGACGGCGGTGAGGGATGGCTTACTATGTCGCGTACGAATGTACCTATAATACCGGCGACCCTTTTGTGTATCTAATAAGTCATTCAGTTCATCGTCTGATCATCTCGAGCTGCATGGAGTGGGTCACATCCTTCTTCCGGCTCACACAGCGATATCGAGATTAGTCGACCTCATTGCTCCCCTTGTCCTGCTATCCATTAAGCAGGGAAAAGGGAAATACCATCAGGCGGCCTGTGCGTGCGAAAACTGCCACACGCGACGAAAAGGTATTAACTGTCCCAGTCAGCTTATTGGCACAGACGTTCAGCCGTAGATCTTGGCGATTGGCAGCGCATAACTAGGAACCCTGCGCAGGCCATGCATCATTTTTATGGTACTTCGTATACGGCAACGGTTGATGTCCCCATACATAAACATTTTCGACTTAACTCGGCTATTTCGGTGAGAACAGCATGCAATATCAGGACATTATCTTCACGGATGGATGCTCGATGCAACATGAGGCAATCTACGTAGAAGCATCGGTGAAACCATCGAAGGTACGGATTTGACTGTGCGGTGATCTCTTTGCAGACTGCGACACGGTGGGCAGCTCATCCGCCTGAGAACCCCTTAGATTTGCCGTAGCAAAACGGACCGGCGACTGTACCAGTTGTCCCCACCGCATTTGACTCAGGCCTGGACGGTGTGGCGGAGAGTGGGGAAGTAGTATCTCGACATGGTGACTATCAGCCAGAGAAAGACAAGGCTGTGGCAATGTGTGGTTGTCTCGATTTTCGTCCAGCACTTCGTTCTCCCAAACGAAGGTAAGATCAGCTCGCTTCAATGTCCTGGAAAGAGCAATTACTGTACAAAGAGTCTAATCGTGAAAACTGGCGTATCAAAGCGCAGTGCAACTTTAACCCTGCCTATTTTAAGGTTGTTTGAACGTGAGCTTTAAAGTAAACCCTGACCATGGAGGGGTTCAGCAAGGACAGACTTTGTAATCGCAGGAGCCTCGCAAGACAATCCAATCAGGCTATCCCGGGAACACACAGATACGGGGATAAAACTAACGTATTGGACATGTAAACCCTGGACGATAGGATTAAGATACACCTGCGTTGATATTAGAATTCATATTCTATATGGCGTACCATAATCTTAATTTATTTCGTCCATGCCCAAAAAAGATGTCTTGTGTGTGATAAGTGACGGCTTGTTCGTGTTTCGCAGGACATATGATATCATTTAATGTGTCGTGGGAGTCGGAAATAGAGTGCTCAGAGGAGCGCAAGTAATTGAATTTCGATGACTATATTATTTTACAATTCTCTCGACTCCATGAAAACCAACACAAAAGACCAAACCACTATTTGCATTTTTTGCATTGGGGGAAGTCTGGGATTAAAAACGGAGTTTTGTTTATACAAACTATTTTAATTTTTTTTTTAAATACTAAATTCCTTGTTGAGCAAACTGTCTTATATGTTTTACAAATCAAATGACGTTACGACTTCAATTCAAAATGGTAGAAGCAGGTGCCTTTGATAAACAGGTCCGTTGTGTCAAATCTAATATTATGAATTCGACGTCAAGTCCATTTATTCTAATAATTTTATACCCGTACAATTTTAAAGTCAAACAATGTATAACGAATTATCTAAAATGCGTTCGACTAAATCAGAAAAGTAAATGGTGCCAGTCTATTACTAAATGTGTCTAGACCGTGCCTACATATTGCTGTAATTATAAATAGGCAATTTTAGTTAAATCCCGAAAGAATCATTTCTAGCTAAAGTGAATTTACTGGAGAGAAATTTTACTTAATATAGTATGATGTGCAGCTGTAATGTGATTTTTAAAAATCATATTGCACTAGCTACATTCAAAGTTATGATTATAACTCGCCTTGCAATTTCCTGCCTGAAAAGTTTATATATACGCCGTTCCCACGGTCAGAATGTGCTATTTGTGCTCGCTTATCATCTTGGAATGGGCCAACAGGGGCTACTTGCAATCTGACTTTTGAATATGAAAGCAATCATACCGTAACGTTATGGCAAATGCAGAGAATAGGGCCTGGACATGAATTACAATGGAAACATTCGGGAAAATCTTATTCTTAAATATACTACAGTCCCTAATGTGAACATGATGTTTTTGAAGGATACTCATTTTTAATGTTTTATACTGATGCACCTTTACATTTTGAGTTCAGTTATGAACAATAACTATGACAACTGTACACTGCTTGTAAGTCTTGTCTTTGCGAAACTGAATACAACCTATCCTTATTTTTGGACTCTTGATTAATCTGAAGACAGGCCTAACGAACATGAAGATCTAACAAATCAGGGTCTTGATGAATTGGTCGGGCATGGCACTTACTAATTGAACAGTTTTTATTGGTACATAAATCTTTGACGTTGATTGCAAGAATGAGAATCCAGGTCGTGAATCGATACAGTCCTGAAGGATACAGTGAATGACATATGAGATGTTATAGATAACGCCTGCTCTAATGGGACTGGAAATTTCTTCCACTGATACTTCATCAATCCTAGTCGGTATGGACACATTAATAAAGCAGGCCCGGTTGGGGGTCCCGGTGGATTAGCCGCTATCAGTCTCACGTACTGTGGGGACCACTACGTCATCCACAAACCACCGATGGCAATGCCACGCCCTGCCAGCAATCATTAGGCACTGACAAAAGAAAGGGGCGAGTAATATCCCCACACGTACACACAACTCTACTGCGGGGCAAACAACACTGACTACAGAGAAAGAGAGGGTAAAAGGTGTTCTCAGTCATGTGAGATCATATGATTTTCATCCCGCCCCTGGGCCTTGTTATCATCTGTCACGGCATTTTGTTAAGCATCACCTCTGTGGTTATGTCTCTGACGTCGGTGTCTATTTCCAAATTCATTCTACGACGTCTCGACCAAGCGACGTCAAAAAAGATTCTGGCGCCAACGTGAAGTTGACAGGGGAAAGATATATGTTACATCTTCGTATTGACGACGTTGTAGAAACTACGTCATTCTGTGTCCTAAAATCATTGCTTTAAGGACTACCTACTAGATACTGCACCTCCTGAAGCTTTGCAATCGTTAAACCTGGTGTTGTCTAGTTGTCACTGGTGTTTGCCTAGAATTCTATACTTGAAGATATAGTAGCACCTTCAGATAAAGCTTCAGATAAACTTGAAAAATCAAGAGAGATGGTAGAATATAAAATCAAGGGTTTGCAATATATTGCATTTATCAGAATACGCGATACAAGCAACTGCGATGGGCATCATCGACAAAGAAATTGGATTTCATGCCACATACAATTCGGGTAAATTTCATGGTTCACACGAAATGTGCCAACTGATATTCTCCATAGCCATCCGTTCCGCTAACAAATGGTAATCAGTACTGCCATATGGCCTCAGAACTCAAGGGACACGGTCGGAATCTACCAAAGCTTCTATTCAATTTATACCGCACAACTGTAATGGAAGTTTAATCCCAATATATCCCTCCCCAGGGCACCCATTCAAAACAAAAGTTATATAAACAAAACTACCTCCAGGTAATTTACACATGTTATAGGATAAACCCAGGTATGGGCTTACTGCTGGGTGCGTGCAATTTATTGTTTTGTTCCATATACAAAATATAGTCTTGATCTGTGCGCACTTTTATTGCTGTGCCCTCCATGCTGCTCAGTATATATTCAAGAGAATTCTTTTGACTGATGGAAAGCATCAAATGTTTTGAGCATAGAAAATGAATGACTGAAATAAAATTGAAGTGGAACATCAAGACCTAAGCTACCATAAGTCAAAGAACGACAACGGGATTCCACATGGGTGGTTTCTGGAGAAAAGGATAAGTTTTCTTCGCAACGGAACTAAAAATTCCATCCCCGTCATGCTAGGTTGAGTATTAAGAATCCAGGCTGATTCGGTAGAGGCTTTACAATATATGGTAAAAGCACCTTAGGGCAATGATGACGGATGGTGTTGGGGTCCAGCTTTTATTTCAAATCTCCACATGTCATGGAACATTTTAAAAGCAACAAATCACATGTAATGCAAACTGTAGAACGTCTGCAATATGTTCCACAGGGGGTCCTTGCGAGTGTTAAAACAAACTAGATTTCTTGTATGAATTATTTCTAACCAGACATTAAATCCCTTAAACATATATCAATTTGTACGCCTGAGAGCTTTGCTTGATGGAATTTATCAATTTGAAACAGAAAATGTCAAGGGCTTCGTTTTCTAACAGCTTGATTATAGCCTTAGGGTTTTTCTCTTTTTGGTCGGTCGTGGGTGTATGAGCATGTTGTTAGCTTTATGTTTCGCAGGGCGTCACCAGGCCCCAGTTCTGTGATCATCTCACTAAAGAACAAAGAAAACTCACAACTTTTATGGCCCTCAGAACTCATTGTTTTCGTAATTGGAACTGACATCTCGTGAGCACGGTTGTATGATTATTATTATTGTGCATTATACTGTATTGTTATTATTGTACATTATTTTTCGTATTGATTTGTGTATTTTATTGTCCCAGAAGTACCTAAAATATAGGTCAAATGATCAGAGTGTAACCTACTGGTAAAATAAATATACTGAAACTAAAACGTCAAGGTACAAGATAAATTCAAAGTAGGATCTATGCAATGTTGTGTATACAATATGTGTATACAATATGCTGTACCAGCTAGATAGATTGTGATAACTTAGATAATGTAAAGAAAAAATAGAAATCATGAAGTAAAAATTTGCATCGTTACGGTGTCACACTGTAGTTAGACTGCGTCTAGTGTTGTTGCATGTTGGCATTTTCCTTGATATAATATAGTTCTTATAAAGTTATAAATGCAATAAAACCGACATGCGGCATACATTTATTACAACTAATGTAGAACGTTATATAAGGATATATCGTGTGCAATGTGAGGTTGAGCCCTTTTTTCGTTCCCTGTGCAGTTAACAGTAACAGCACGAAAGACAAATCAGCAATACCGCATCATAATAACACCCTGCAGGCCATAATGTTAGTACTGCAGCTTCCTCGCTTTTATTAGTGCCTTTCCATCATGTAGCAGCTAGAGCCGGATAGTTACGTATGTGTGTCGCACTAAATTCTTTGTACGGCATCTTTGTGTGATAATCCCTTCAACAATTCACACCACGTTCCAAGTAAGAATCATAAGCACAAACATAAACAATATTAATATATTTTCTCATAAACTTGTGGGTATCACACATATAAATCTTCCTTCTTAAAATTTATCACCCTGGTCTTAAAGGGATGTTACAATAAACATTCTTTTATTGAAATCTGTTGCCTAAAATAGTAACATTTTCTACGGCAAGGAGGCTAAATATTAAAATGACAAAAGTTTATGTTAATGGCGGAATACTATGAATACAGATAGTTCAGGCAACACGCCAACTCTGATGACTTTTAAAACAGGTGCTTGGAAGAAACTTGTGCACAAGTAGAGTAGGATGACACCTGGTCGTTGCTATAGTGTGAAGATATCTGTCGTGCCTTTTAAAAGATTCCACCACCTGCCTATGAAAGTCGCTACGTTACCATTAGTGCCTCTGGTGCCCTGTCATCCAGCTTGGCAGCCTACTGGGACAGCAATGCCTTTTTGATGGAACCCTTAAAGATAAAAGCAAATGGGACTGTGAATGGGGTTTGTCATGTTAAAAATGTAGCACATCCTTACGACAATTCTGTCTCCGCAATAAATGAACGTGCAGGATGTGTAATGGAAAAGTTGCCTGAGGAATTTTCTTGGAATTCAACCAGCC